TTAATAGGACAATTTTACGTTTCTAAAATGAATTTTTTCCAGAAATTTTTTTTTAGACACCAGAAGAAATGGTCATCGTCTTATGTCGTTGCAGAAAACTTCAATGGCGTAAGAAGGCTTTCAGATTGCGCCCTCCCCTCCATCAAAATAAAGTACTTATTCTGGTGTCTACATCTCATCCTTCGACGTAACGTACTGATGAGTCATTTATGTCCTCTGCTTAACGCAAGTGGTCTTTGAACTCGAACACTTCCTGTAAAGTGAACTAGAGCAGGAAAGTAGAGAAGATGAAGAGTCATGAACATGAATTATTTCATTTTGTAAGGTATCTGTACTGAAACTATAAAGGATTCTCGGTGTCGGTATAATAAGGGCGTTAAAAGTAAGGATACGAAAATTGGGAATTTAAGAGTGATTTATGTAATCACTTCGGTTTTCGAAAGGAGTGTGAGGTAGCAAACTATTTTGTTTTGTTATGGTTTTGTTTACAGTAAATTTATTCTTTCTATCGTTTAGTTTATCTGTCAATTTTTACTTTACACTTAAATGCTAACTCACTTCCTAGCTAATCGTATTAACTTTTAGATTTTACCAGTTATCAGACTGACACCAGTTTCCCATATCGGTGACGTACAGATATTTAACATTGGTAAATAGTATGTAAATAATGATTACATGAATTAATCTGTTGTTCTAACTAGTTATTTAATTATTGCAGCTCAGCTTATCTTTGGTCTCGAGGATTTTCCGTAACCTGAGCCGGAAGGTAGACAATGTGAAGGAAGAATGAATGAATTGTCTTTGTAAGGGGTACGTACGTAAACTGGGCAGGATTCATGATGTCAGTATAACGAGATACTTAAAAGTAAGGATACGCAAATTGGGAATGTAGGAGTGATTAATGTACTCACTTTTTTCGAAAGAGCAAGGAATTTGAGGTAGCAAATTCTATTTTTATTTCGTTATGGTTTTGTTTTCAGTTCACTTATTATTCTTTCTATCGTTTAGTTAACCTGTGCAATTTGTTTTACGTTTAAACGCTACCTCTCATTCTACTTAATAACAATATTTTTAAGTTTGTAAAAATTATGAGACTGACATCAGTTTTCCTTATCGGTGACTTTATTTATGTTGCAAAAGTGTAAATGTTAATATCATTTTTTTTAGGTCTTAAATAAAACTGTCATGAGCTTCAATAACTTGGCGCACCAAGGATGGTGGGAAGTGTTTTTCGATATTTTAAGTTTCGTACATAATTTTTTCTTCTGTTTTGTGTATAGAAATACTAATCCCGATATTGATGGTATATTCTTTTGTTAGTAGGAAACAATTTAAACTGTTTGGTAGCTTAAGGTATCAAAGAAGGACTTCTTGGAAACAACTAACAAAATACCCAACCGTTGATGAACGAACAGAACTATCTAGAGATGTTTTACAGAAAGCAATATCCAACATTGAAAAGTAAGTCTCTCTTTTGTCACAATTAAAAAAAATGGTTACCTTACTACTCCTGTTATTAAGATTAATATATTATTTTCTGCATTAAATACTTTCACTCAAACTTATTCTAATACGGTAAAACTTTAGAAATTACTACTACTTTAGAAGTTTTCATATAAATTAAAAAAATTACCTCATGGTAATCAAAATATGGTTTTACATGTCTAAAATAAATATGTACACTTTCTCCATTGGACATTAATTTCGATACCTGAATCAATGCTGATCATTCTAGGCAGTTGCAGAAAATGAATGCGAACAGAAAGATTAGATATTTTTCCACAACCCAGAAGACTTTGTTCTTGTGTCACCACCTCTCATCCTTTGTATCCAGTTAATAACTTCAGTGTCTAATGCTCAACGTAGTTGGTCTTCGAACTCAAACTTCTTGAAAGGTGAACCAGAGTACGAAGCTAGAGAAGATCAATCTGAAGGTTCAAGAACATGAACGATTTTTCCTTGTAAGGTATCTGTACTGAAACTCTAAAGGATTCATGATGTCAGTGTAAAAAATACAAAAATTGGGAATTTTGATTTATTAATAATATCAACGTGGCTTTTCAAAATGGAAGGAGTGTGAGATAGCAAATTCTATTTTTATTTCGTTATGGTTTTGTTTTCATTTACTTTATTATTCCTTCTATCGTTTAGTTGAACTGTACAACTTTATTTTACATTTAAACGCTAACTCACCTCCCAGTCAATCAAAATAATTTTTATTTCAAATAAATTGAGACTGACACCAGTTTTCCTTATCTGTGAGGTACAGATACTAATTTTTATATAAAGTTTGTATATGGCTTGTAACCTCATGAGTAGTTACGATAGCATTATGAATAAGGGTGTGTCACGTTTATGCAAATACGATGATT